TTTTATCATTTACTCGGTTTCCCTTGGTCTTTTCCAGTGTGTTATGAATTTTAAATATTCAAGATAAGATAAGATAAGATAACCTTTATTAGTCCCACACGTGGGAAATTTGTTTTACATGTTACCATAGCGACCAGAGAGCATTAATTGGCAGAGAGGAGGATGTTACTCACAATGTTGTTGGCGCATTTCAGGAGGACGCTGCTAATAAAGTTACACAATTACACAGTGAATTCACGTTTACCATTTTATTTACAAAACACCACAGTTTTTGTCTTGGTCGTATCAGTTTATTTTGTTGTATTTATCCGCGACACCTTAAAGGCCAGTCCGTGAAAATACCGTCTGACATTAAACTGTTCTGTGGCGCAAAAAAGGTTGGGGACCGCTGTTTTAGATATAGTCTGCATTTAGATTATTTAATATGTGACTGAAACTGGAATTTAAGGTTGACTTATTATGGTCATTTCCAACTTGATTCTTTATTCTTGGAGTCTACAAGAATAGTTTTTCAGAGGGGGCTGGTTACAGCCAGAGTGGTGGGGCTGAAATGACCTTGCCCAACCTGGTCGTCCCCGTTCTACGACATCATAGAGAGCCAGAATAGAGAAAAATCTGAAACCTGAGCATTTGGCTTTCATGGATTACTTGATTATTTTAACAATTTACATGTGTTAAAGTTTAGAATTTAGAAGCACAACCTTTAACCAGATGGAAACAGCTGTACAAAGCAAAGATTGCTGCACATAAGTATCTTGATCTGTGCAACATGTAATGTACAGTGTCCATAAAGAGCATTAATTAACTCTTATTATTGTACCAACAATACAGCATAATAATCGGCATTTTAATCAGGTTAAATGGCTACATGTCCATGTAGGACTATCACCTGGAGCCATGGATGTGAAGCAACAACAGCGTCAGCAGTATTAGAGGCTTACGCTGAAGAGCAAGGAAAATCCTATCACTGCTGCTGTATATGTGTGTATGTGCATGAGTATGTGTATGTGTAGAAGGAGAAACTTATCCACAGAAAATGACACAGCATTGAGCTAGAGCACCCCCTTCCCCTAAAACTCCAAGGAGATCTGTTTTGCTGTGCCTTTATCGCAGCAATAACTAAAGGTTTTTAAAGACATGCAAAGCATGCAGGGAAATGCTCAACATTTTGCTTCATCGGTGTCATCCCCACGTTTATTACATCTATGCCACTTCTATCTGAGCTGCAAGAGCCTGTTAATTTAGTGGCCTATGCATCTTGTTTTAAATGCATGTCAGAGTTTGACAAAGTGAACTACATTTGGGAACTATGTGTAGTTCCCAAATGTAGGGAACTATTTTTATGAATGGATAAAAATCAAATTTTTCAGAATGAATATAAAACAACTGTTATGACCATTTAAACTCATATATAGGAAATATTCTTGGCAAACTTTAAAATCTACTCTGGTCTAGCCATTTGAGGCCCAAGAGGCCTTGAAGGAGGACTCTTTAAATGGTACCTGCCAACTTTGAAGCTCTGGGCCAACTGTATGACAGACATGGAAAAGTTCAAACAATGTGTGCAGGTGTAATCTTGCTAAAATAATATCAAGGCACGTGCTGTTGTACTTTTTCTATGTGTTCAAAGCACAAAATCTTTTTGGAGATTTTACAGAGATGAATAAAATCCCTCAGGGATAAAATCTGAGCATCGAAAAGTAATTGTGAGCCAAACAAGAAACAGTCTTTTTATGTCCTGGTCTAAACATTTAGTTCAGGTCCTGCACGTTTTTTTTCTTTCTTTTTGTTTTGTGTTTTTCAATAAAGGCTCAGAAGAGCAAAACAAAGAACTGCAAATGATTCAGCTCGCCTTTTAGCTGTTTATGCACAAATCTGAATAAATCCAAAGGTTGCGAACATGGATTGATCTGACCTTTTGAGTAAATTTGTTCATAAAACTGTTTAAATGACTTTAAATATATGCGCTTCTTCTTTAAACGTATCCCCAGTGCATTTTCTTGCAACACGGAGCTGTTTCCACATGTAATCATTTGTGCACACAAACTTCCACTAATTTCATACAGAAACACAGATATAGATTTTTACCAGTGTAATTAGCAGCCAGTGATTTATTGATCAAAGTGGCTGCGCTTTCCCTTTTATATAAAAGCCTAAAGTCAAAGAATTATATAATTCTGAGTGTCTGCTTCACTTGAGTTGCTCATATTTGCAATTATTGGAGAAAGTAATGACATGCAAAGGAAATGTTTGACTCTTTTGTGTGGACAAGTAAACTCCTCATTAAAACTGTGTTGACAGATAAAGTTGGTGAACTTGAGGAGCACGCTAAGGAAAGATTTTTTCTTATATTTCATTCAAAAAATGCATATGAATATAAAGTGCCTTGAGGGGACTGTTGTTGTGGTTTGGTGCAATACAAATAAAATTGAAATTGAACTGAATAGATGTGATGCAGGTCTGGAAAACAGTACACCAGACAGAAGTTAAATGCATTCTGCACTACGGTCCACCAGTGTCAAACATCAGTCTGCTGAAAGATCTCCCATCCTTGCATTCCAAATTCCTGTATTTGCAAAATGTGCAAGAATTTTCTTATCTGTTTCAAATCTCTCCATAACACGTTCATGAAATTTTAGCTGTTTTTTGACTTCTCCATTCCACTAACCTTCATTTCCTTTTCATAACCACAACCCAGAACATTTGTAATACCAGGAATCACAGATCATATAAAGGTTCTTGTCTGTTTTTCTGCTCAAAAGCTTTTTTCAGATCATGTCAAACACATATTGGCCCAAAATGACTACATTTTTTAAAAGTAGGTTTTGCTTAAATGTTCAATATTGTTAAATGTTACATTTTGTATAACAGAGGCTTTTTCTTTTCTCTTTTTTTTTGCTAAAATATATTGCCTATAGATATATATGTATTGTTTAAATGGTGATTAACTGTTTTTTCAAACGTGTCAGAAATTTCCACATGAATGTCTCCTCATAAAAAAAACTCCCCACAAATGTCACTTTACTACAGAGACTTGATTTAAGAACTTATTACTATTTGACTGCACTTTCAGAGTCTATACGGACAATAATGTGCAATTGCAATTCCCCTTGAATACTAATAATGATCTAACTATGTATCGCTTCAAGTCTAAAATCCCAACAGATGCATTGTACTTAAATCTGAGCAGGCAGCCTGCTGCTATTATGCAAGTCTGTCTATCAGATTTGCCACCAGCCTGACTTATGTAGTGGCTGACGAAGGCTTTAGCAGATTAAAGCACAGCTGAGGAAGTAATCCGAGTTTCACTTTGCAGCACCTAGCAGTCAGTTTGCAAGTATGGGATTACAATGACGCTTGGTCCAGATAAATACCCTTGAACCCAGAGTAAATACAGAGTGAACCAACAAGGACAAGAAAAAAAAAACAAAAAATTAACGCATTCGTTATAAGCACTATTTTTTTCTGGTATTGTAATACTGAGCATGGATTGAAGCGATATAAAACAAAGTGACATCCTCACATCAATACGAAGGCTCTCATCTGAGGTCCAGCTAAACAAATGATCTTCAGTTCAACATCAACACCAGAGACTGAACTGAGAGTGGGAAAAACACTAATGGACTTCCCTGTCGCTCTATGATTCCACAATGAGAAGGCAAATAACAAAAGAAAGACAGAAAAAGAAAAAGCAGTGGGCCAAAATGAGCAGCCAGATGCAATCAAGAAATGTCTAAATTTGGAGGTTTTACTGGGAAATAAAGATGAAGCAACCAGGAAATGTAGGTCGCTTTACCAGGCTGAGCAGTGCTGTGACAGATGCCTGCGCAGGGGTCAAGTGAGTACAGGCCATAACTTTGATGCTTAATATGGTTGTCGGGGGAATGCGACAGCCAAAAAATGTCAAGATTAAAAGAAGCACTAAGGGCAAACCTCAACCCTGGTTTCAAAGATGATAAAAGAAGAATATAAACAATAAAAGGCATTAAATAAAAGCCAGCACTCTAATATTAATGAATTATAAGGAATGAAAAAAAAAGACCGGAACACAATAAATGAACTATACGACTTGGGTAATAAAATCCCATTTCCATGGTATTCATTTCAACGATAATATGATAAAACTGCCACACTTATCATTCTTTCCCTGCAATTCATTCATTATGATGAATTTGGCAATTGTGTCCTAGAAAATGAAGATTTGGGCTACAGTAAAAGAATCAAGCAACGGGCGTAAATGGGCACAAAAAGGAGCTTTCTACAAATCTGTATCCAAAACTGTTGCAATTCTGATTCAAATTTAAATTATAATAGAAGACAAAGCTTTCAAAGTCTGTCAGACCATTTATTTATCATTTCTTCCGATTATTTTAATATTGAAAAACACATGCTCACTTTTACTTTGACACATTTAAAAAAAGCTGGATAATTCATCACCTCTTCTTTTTAAAACTATAAGCATTTGATGTCGTTTTAATTCCCCCCCCCATTCTTTCTTGATCCACTTACAGCTGCTCAGCACTTCAAGGACTCCCTTTTCATAGTCTTTGCATCTTAATGCATGCAATGTCCTCAATGAGGGACATGTCTGGACTGTATTTAATACATTCATAATAGTTTGTCTTAATAGAAGAACTCCGTAATGTACTGAGTAGCCGAGTAGCTGAGCTACTCACACATATGAATGTGTGGGGCTGCAAACCTTCAAGCTTTTATGGTGCCTTCCCAGATGTACATGTTACCTATGCCATGGTTTATAACTGTGTGCTAATAAGTATTCAGCTGGTCTCCATCCACTTCAGCCCACAGGATGCTTTGTTGATGAAATCTCAAAAAATAATTGTCCCATTTTGATTCATCTTAGTTACACTACTTCAGTCCGTCCCAACGTAAATGACTGTTTAAATTGGAATTAAATGCCCTGGAGACAATGTTGTTAATAGCAAGCCAGCAACTGGCAGTCATTTAAGCTAACACCTTTCTTTCTTTGTTCGCTGCAGTGTTGAACTGGATTTCAAACAACAGGAGGACAAGCTACAACCACTGATGAAGAGGCTATTCCCAACAGAGGACACCCACTTTCCCCCCCTGCCTTACCCTCAGGAGGCCTTCACCTCCACCCCAAAACGCAAGTCCAAAGCTGACTCCAAGAAACACGCTCGCTGGAAACTTTGGTTCCTGTGACAACAAAAAACCATGTTCCCCTCCACCACCGTGCACAGGATTTAAGTGTCCATCCGATCATCCGCTTTTGTTTGGTTTATTCATCAACTTCTTTTATATCTATTTGGATGTAGACCTGGTATTAATGGAGACCTTGACTGGATATCGAACCCTTTTCTGAGATGACAGGATGTTTAATGAGACACGAGTGTGGATCCCACGGAAAATTCAAAATGTCATGCTTACCAAAAATGGATTCTGAGTTATTTTGAACTAATTTCTTCAAACAGGGTGTGAAATTACACCAAGGAAACATATTTGGAGATCGGCAAGGTGAGAAGATGAATTTGATTTCCCGATGTCTATTTGCATATATATTTTTTCTTCTTCTAGCTGACGTCAACGGGGTTCTGTTCTGTAATGGTTCTGTGCCCTTCACATTTCCATTCATCAGTTGGGACTTTCTTCCCAGCCTCCAGGAGAGGTTGGCAGATCAACCATAATGCTCTGAGGCCTCCATAAACAGCATATCACTGTACTGCAAAGCACAATTAGAACTGTTCAGGATACATTTTCTCCAGAATAATTAAAAAGACCTATTTTGAGTAATAACTCACATATGTAGATTGTCTACTAACCATGCAGAGTGAAGACTTTCATATCTATATAAAGAAGAGACCTAAAGGACAAAATATCAGAGATGTTTATTGGAGTTCTACAGTCAACTTTTTATCCATCGCTAAAATGTCTCCTTGAATCCACTGACTTTGAAGAAAAAAAACAAAACAAAACAAAAGAAGAAAGAACACTTATTTTCTTAATATTTGCAAAGTTAAACATCCATGTACTTTTTTCTATATAAATATATCTATATACATTCACTTTAAGATTTAGCAAAATGTATTTATTTGAGCTGCAGTGACGGGAGCTGTGCAGTTCAAACACAACAGTGCAAAAGGAAGTCGATCATTTCACAATTCTCAACTCGTTTCCATGCATCGCAAAGTTCGTACTAACCTCACGTATGCATATGGTCATTAAACACCCAGAAAAGACAAAAACCCATTCATTGGTATAAAAGCATAGACACACAGAGAAAACTGTTACTGTTACGAAACCAACTATAATAAACAGTTGGTTTTCAGCACACGCGAAGGGTATCAGAGGATAGCTTTGATTGTATTGCTGCAGTATCCTGTATCAGCTACTATAATAGCTACTGAAACCAAGCCAGAGAAACTGAATGTGCCACTTCTGATCACAACCAGGGCTTCTACAGTGCAGGGTGGCAGGCTTATAGCCTTGCATGCTTTTTACAACCTTTGAACTTTGCAGGATATTTTCTAGCTTTTAAAACAATTTTTAATGAGATTGACAAAATCTCCCCCCCCCCCAATTTCCCTTTATTATTGTTATAATTAGTTCCTGCTCATTGCTTTGCATCTATTCGACTGTAAAGTAAAAACCATGTGCAGTAACTCCACAGCGGGTTCAACAATTACGTACAGCCAAAACATTTACTACACCTTCATGTGAAAAAGTGAGAACATCCAATAAGAACGATTCGTTTTTGGACGAATATGGATGAGCAAACATTTTATCCTCTTTGAAATAGTGCTCATTAACAAAGGTGCTAATCTGAAATTTTAAAAAAAGAAACAGAAACATACATGCACACACCCAAGTGCAAATCGGTCGAATTTACTTTCTATTAACACACCAAAACAATTTGGGCTTCCGGGTTTGTTGTCAGTGATTAGACCCTACACAGGCTTTGTGAGGGTATGTTGATTAAGGTGCCACAAAGCAACAATCTCTGAGCAGTCTATGAGAACCACTAAATTTTAACTCTTGCAGCGTTGAAGTGCTCATGTCTACAATCATGACATGCATGAGAGATATGTCAAGAGAGCTGTTTGGCCACAACAGTAGAGAGAACATTTTTGAAGAGAAAAGCCTTTTACAATATGTGAATGCGGGTCGTTATGCTTCGAGGACACTTTGCTTGCTGGGACTGGGCAGCTCACATTTTCTCAAGTGTGAATTCTTTATTATATCAAAGAATTTTAAAGGAGTATTTGAAGATACATGAATGAAAGTTGAAGCTGAACTAGAAGTGGACCTGAAAAAGTATACATAAAGTGTATGGAAATGGTCTTTAATCTTACTGAAGAATGTGAAACAGGCAGAACAAGTTCAAACATCAAATATTGTTCATTGACGATTTGGCAAAAATTTCAGTAATTCAAAGACTTTTAGATGATTACTGCCTTGCTGACCCAGGCCTAGAAACCAGTCCGCAACCCCCCCTCCAATCGCTAGGGAACAGTGTGTATTCTTTGACTTGCTGATGACTGCTCGCTCGAAGTTGCTGCCCGACACTTGGTAAAGTCTATTTCCTGAACCAACAACCAAAACATTTGAAAAGGCACAACTTTTACTTTGAAATCAAATGGCCTCTTTCCAGTTTGTGCCACACTTTTCACAGTTTTATTACTGCTTGGCAAGACGTTTTTCAAGTCTTTACAGCCAAGTCGGCGTCTTCCATGCACAGTAAGCGACCGCGGCAACCTGAAAGTGACCAATCACAAAGAGGGTTTTGGTGCAGCACTGCATATCTCCATGCACCGTGACCAATTTCACGCTAGCAGCTGCCAGCAACCTTCAGAATAGACACTTTTTCCTAGTGAGCAACGGTTGCCCAGGATATACTGACCAGACTCGGCCTGTCCGGCCGATGGCAACTCTAGTTTCTTAAGGCTGAGGATGTACTTGTGTTTAAACAGATAACAACATATTACTTTATATTTTATTGTATGTTTTTGGTTATCATGTTCTTTAAGTATACTACCTTTATCTGTAGGAGCCATTTCAATTCAAAGAGGATCTAGTGTGTGCTGGTCCAGATATTTAAACAAGTAATCAGTTTCCATGGGATGTTCTTACTTACTCACATCACTGTATGTAAATATATATTACACAATATCAAATAGTGCTAAAAACATTTCAAGTGTGGGATAACAGCCAATATCTAAAGAGAAAAAACAAAAACGTAATAGCTGATCACTCTAAAAGACACAACCACTGCCCTAGAAGACAGGAAATATGCCAAAGTGGTTTCAAGGACATAAAAAATGTACAACAATATCCAGCAAACTACTAGCTATCACTGGCTTGACCTTCACAAGCTCCAACATGCTGCATTTTGTTAGTTACATATATTTCACAACTTCACTCTTGTATATGCTAGGTTGGTTTCTTTCAGTAGTTATACTGTAGCATCAAGAGAGAACTAGATGTTTATCTGTATCTTAAAGAAGTGCAATTGATTTATTATGTGCAATACTGTGTCTTTTATACAGTTTTTTTTAAAAAGACAAAAATAAAGATATTTAATATGCAAAATATGAAAAAAGAAATAAAAAAAAAAAGACATCGACAAAGCTCTCGAAATCTGATCTGGACCCAGTTTAATTTGTGGAGCTATAAGCACAATGATACTTTTTTCCTACCTTCTTCAGTCACATTATAAGTAAAGGACTAGTTTCCCTAACTTTTAGCAGATGCTTTGGAATACGTTTACCCAGGCTTGATGGGTCTGCACTGTGAAATTAGATCACAGCATCTAGAAAGATGCAGTACTTTTGAACAACTCAGATTTTGAATAAAGCAGCACTCATATCCTAAGCAACCAATCTGCATAGCTAATACCTAGTATTAGCTAGGTATTAGCACATTGGTTGCTAGTACCAGGGTTTAGTGGGGAAATGTGTTTTGTAATTTAGATGAACAATCCCTGTGAAAACCAATTTCTGACTGCACTGGAAAATTCTTCGCTAACGCACTGATACCAACAGTGGACTGACCAGTACTGACCAGTGTTGATAAAGCAACAGTATTGGCCTTGTTGACCGACTTTAACATGCGGGCAAATCTACAAGTGAGGGTTCTATTGTGTTGGATCAACTTTAAGTTTGCTAAAGAAACCAGGATTAAGATTTCAAACTCTTTAAAACAGTGCAGCTACCCTTTTTTAATATATCATGTAAATTTACTTAGTTTTATTCTTGGACAATAAAGAATAACAAAAACTGTATCTCAACTGTCAAATTTAACATCAGTATCTGACCAGAACACTTGGTACAAGATAAGGCTGAAATCATACATCTCTTTAATGTACTATGGTGGGCTGAGGCGAGAGGAGAATACAGCAGAAGGGTAAGCAGCAGTGTTTTGTGCACAGCCAACCTGCTTGGGAACCAGTCTTTGCCCTTACCATCCTCACTCTAATACAGATTTTGTTTTCGGGCATGTCCGTGTGCTCATGCATCTGCACCTGCACCTGCCTCATGTTAGTACAAACAAGTCTTGAAGTGCAAACATGAGGTAAACCAGCAACAAAGCTCTGAGCAAAACCCCCACAGATGCACAGTCACCCTCACACTGATGCATGAAGTAACGCTGCTGAAGGTCAGCGCTAGCCACAGCCTGGCCGACTCCACCGGGCTTGATGAGTGACTGCGTATGCCCAAGAACTGAGAGCGCAAACACGACACCTACTGCAGTTTAACATTTTGCATTCTTACTTAAAAGTCTTCTGTGGTCTTAAGGTGACAAACAGCAAAGAAGTCCCAGCGGTTTATACAGTCCTGACAATCACAACACATCACAACATGGTTTGTTGCAGGCTCAATAAACCCAAAGGGATGCGCAGTCGAAGCTTCAAAACAGGTGAGGAGACGCGAGGTGTAGCGAGTGATAAGTGCATGTTTGAGGCATTATGATGCAGTGCCATATCTCACTATGCTTCTTTTCTGTAAGAGCTCTGCAGTAGTCTGGCCAGCAGAAAAAAGAGAGAGGAGAGGAGACAGAGCGGTAGATGCAAGGAGGTGCTAAGAAAAATATTTGAACAGAAAAATATCCAAACACAGAGATAAAGCGAATGTGCAATACCAGATTCTGAACTAGACACGCATACCTGGAATGACCGTGTCGCAATTTACACTATCAAGTCAGTGAGTGCACGCAGCAAAGGAAAAAAGCTCTAGCACCTATAGCTGGTCAGCCCCATACTGTCAATCAATAACATAGAGTCCTTCCCCTGCAGCTTTCCAGTTCGTTCCCTCTGCACACTGCAGGAAAATCATGAGGATAACTGTGGAGCACTGCAGCTAAGTATCACTGCAACATGTTTTGAGTAGTCTTGAGAACTTGAGTCCACAAAAAAGTTCAGCAGTGAGGTTTTTTTTTCTTTCTTGACAACATCATGGGAAACCTAGCTGTCAAATATGTACTCAAGTCTTTTAATCAATTCTGTCAGCAAGCATATTTAGGTATGTCCTAAACCATAACAAAATTATGCAAAAACTAGTAAAATCTAACGTAACACATTTATACAGCAAAGTTGTATTCTGTGGTTTTGCTGCATGGAAAATATAGATTTCTTTTCTTTTTTTTAAAATACATTTGCAGCTTCCTATTTCTGTCTATCTGCAAGGCTTCCTATTCTCGTCTATCCAGGAACTTAAACTAGAAGAAATAAGAGCATAAAGAGAGAACCTGGTGCTTTCCACGGAAAGCGGCTAAATGTTTCTGCTACAGCCATAATCTAAATGTATTCAATTCAAGGACTTCTTTCAACCTGTGTGAGGGTGGACATGAATGCAAAGATACAGCCTGCGAGATGATGCTATGATGCTGTGTCCAAGTTGCTAACAGGCGTAGCACTGCAGTGACAACACGCAACAAAACCAACGCCCCCAAAGTCGTCACTGCGTGCTTTCTCATCAACATTCTGTGTCCACCGCTGCCAGGAGAGAGCAGAAAGGGAAGAGAACGAGAGACGGGCGGGAGACAGAGTAGAACGTTAATGCATAAATCTAAATGTAAGAGGCTGCCACTCAGAAGAACAAGGTCGGTGGTTGGATGCGGTGTTGTGTGAGCAGCAGCGTGCAAGCTGCCTGCAGAGTAGGCATCTGTACCCAGAGGCAGCAACAACAGCCCTCTGATTAGAAAGCAACAACACTGCTAGCAGCACTAACTGGGTCTCATAGCTTTTAAAAATTCACGCCCACCTTATTCATCATTAAATAATCATTTGGGGACTTAGTTCAAATGCAATTTCTGTCCCAAGTACTATATAATGTATAATGTGTTTGAGTAAAAGAGCCTTAGGCTTTCATGTAACCTCTAAATCCCACTGAGTAAAAGGACACTCTGCACATTGATGCAAAATCATATTCAGATGCTTAAAATGTCAAGGCAGTCAAGTGCAGATGCTAGCTAGCTATAAAGGCAGCCGCTGACAAAAGGTCGGGGTCGGTAGGGACAATAAACCCGAGCTGTGTTCGAGGAGCAAAGTAAAATAGAGGCCAGTGGCAGCATATGTATACAGAGTAGATCGTTTCAACACGGGCCAAAACAGGTCGTGGGTAGAGTAGTTTGATTAACTAGAAAGGAGGTCGGTCTTCCACAGCACATGCCAGCACTCGCTGTTGGAAACAAGAAACCCGTTTCAACTACCCCACAGGTGGACACCAAAATAGATGCACTTAGTGTAATACTATGAAAAGGAGGCCTGCATATGCCTTCATACTGACAGCCTTTTAGAAACTTGCCACTACAGTGGAAAAACAACAAACAGGAAATGGTGTGAGGAGATGGTGAGCTGTTCAGTTCACCCAGGCTCTAACAAAACATCCACAGAGATCAAATCTATCTTCAGATTTAACGTTTAAAACTGTTTGACTATGAGCTAGGCAGGACAGCGCACTATTTGAATAGCTGGTATAACAATGAATCGACTAGAGAACTACAGTGGGAGAGTAAGTGGGAGCCCTAGACGCCCTCCAGGCAGCTGGTTGGGAGAAAATGGCCAGTGGGACGGCCTTAGCTCAACTCGCAGCTTCATTAGCTTGACATTATTTAGTGTGATGTATGCTTAGCAATCTGTTACACAACGGAGGGCTTCCCATCTATAAGATTAGCTGGTGCATAGCCGGAATAGTTTTAGAAGAGAGAGAGAGACAAAAGAAGCAGTTAGTGAATTTCTGCTGCAAAAATCCCTCGCTGCAACCCAGAAAGAAAGACCCAACACAGGAGATGAAGCGTCGGGGCTGTGGACATATTACAGCACTATGATATAACACACACATACACAAACACACTAGATGATCACTCAGTGGCGACTCCGGGCTTTATGGAATCATTCTCTGCCGGCGTGGCTCGGTTACTGGTAATAAAAGCTTCCATTTAAACAAGTGATGGTGAATCCTGGTGCTCCCCGATGGAAGCGGTGTGAATATTTGTCATTACTAAATGTCTATAGGCTCATAAGAAAACGTCTCATCACTAAGCTGTATTTTACAGAGCTGTAAGAATACGAATGTCGATCATGAAAAAAAGTCTAATTTTCAAAGACGATACAACACATCTACACGCAGCTCTAATAAAGACATTATTCAAAAGGAAGAAAAAGAACAAGTCAAGCAAGACAGAAGTTCACATTTCTGACTAAAAATACAGTTGTGCTAATTGCCGTTTGGGACTGAAGAAAATGGGTGAAGCCTTATTCGCACACATCAGACAGACTACATATTTACAGGATGACTGATAAGTGCATTAATTGCTACCAAGCTCTGGCTGAGAGAGTGATGGGAAGATGGATGCTAAAGGCAACGGTGGGGTGATACAGTGATTAGATTACAGCACAGAGCACCAGAAGTGTAGTAATAAGTGAGGATAAGACACACAAGCAAAGCAAAAGGAAAACACACACAGACACGCCGGCGCGAAAACAACCGGCTGGAGAAAGATATGAGCAGATCAAAGCCTCTCTTAGACTGAGGGAGTGTGAAAGCAATCTGCCAAGGTAGGCTTTACCTTTAATGATACTTTTGGATTGGAACTGTGGTTGCTGCGTGACTGTGGGAGTCAATCTGGTTGCGGTACATGTGCCTCTAAAATTGTGTGCATGTATGTGTATAAAAAAACAACCACAAAAATCAAACACAGAGAGTTGCGTGCTTAGCGTGATATACTGCCTGGTATCCAAGCAGAGAATTACACTTACGATATGAGGTGAATCGCGACCCATAGAAATGATTGTCCTGTTAACGGTCCTCAGCAGCTTCTCCATGATGATTTGGACGTGCCACTGGGTGGGACCCTGTACATAACACATGAATAATATCATCACTTAAAAACAGAGGAATAAAAAAAACCATAATAAAGTGAAAGACTATGGAATATCAGTCCAAACTTATGAGGCCTGACAGAAGCTCAGATTTCAAGGGAATTGTGGTCATTCGGGTGAACAGCTAGGAAAAAAAAAGTACAGGATGATGAAAGTCTTGAGCCATCAGTAATTCCTTTACGTTTTGCTAGGATAATGGGAAATAGGTGCAAATATTAATGGAAATATAGTATGTAAGGGAAAAATAGAGAATGTAAAAATTAGAGATGGACCGATACTGACCTAAATTACTGGATCGCATATCGGAGAGAAATAAAAAATGTAATCTGATCCATTAAATATCAAAAAAGCACCTCACAAAACTTGCGACATGGCGTAACTCAGCTCATAACCGTAGCACGTCGGAGCAGTATGCATCAGGTATAGAGCAGCTGTGGCGCGCAAGACCTGTCAGCGGTCTGGTTGAGCATTTGGAGCCTTGCTACCAATCCGGCATTTCATCTCCAAGAAAGTTATCCCAGAGAGAAGTAAAGCAAGTGTGTAAGTTCATCTCTGAATGTTTGTAAAGCATTCCAGCGTTAAATAAATTCTAACAACAGCTTATCAAGGTTAAACGTGCTGCTGTTGTTCAGCCGCTGGTTTCCTCTTTCTGGCGCGAAGTGGGCGATAGACAAGCAAGAGAGAAAAGCCGATCAGCTTGATCATTGAAGTAGCAACAGGAGAGGGAGGGAGAGAGAGGCAGTCGCTCCATATATCGGTGATTAAGCTTAATATTACTTTCTACACCAGGATCCTTTTCTACGTAGCTGACGGCTGTAACTGTGCAGGGGCGGATCTAGCAAAGTTTAGCCAGGGGGGCCGATAGGGCATGAACAGAGAAAAGGGGCACAAAGACATACTTTTCTTTCTTATTCTCATTTAAAATGTCTAGCTTTTAATAAATAATTATCTGACACCCAAAGTTTTAATCTGATGTAAAATGTATAGAAATCCATTACTGTATATAGTAACTATTAAGTCTAATATACCCTAGTAAGCTATAGTACTTTTTCTTTGGGAAGGCACGATCTGTGCAGTCTGCAATTCTGTTGAAGAAAGATGTTGAATCTATTTAAATATTGTAGAAAAATAATAGATTTCTGTGCATTTTCTTTCACACTGCATCAAATTAAAGTTGATTACGTCGATTAAGCATCATGAGGTGGAGGGTGGGTGGTTCCCTTTTTCTTTTCTTTTTTTGCTGGGAGTTTGCAACCCTGTTAGTTAGGTTGCTTACTCCGGTAAAATACCAGAATAGGAAGGATGGAGTAGGTTTACGTTTATTAGATTGATCAGTGTTGCTGAACTATGAAATATTTTGTTTGCATACAGGTATAACAGAATAGCTTCAGTCTCTTGTTTTTTAAAACTTGAGTATGAACTTATACAAAATGCAGCAAGATATAAAAAAAAAACAGTTTTATTGATTAAAAAACACTATATCGGATTCATATCGGTATCGGCAGATATCCAAATTTATGATATCGGTATCGGACATGAAAAAGTGGTATCGTGCCATCTCTAGTAAAAGTATAATGAGCTAGAAAGTCAACACCACCTTATTCTTCTACACACCCTTAACACTCTTAGGAAAGCTTTCTCGCAGTTTCAGGAATAGTCCTCCAGGCTTCTTGAACGACATTCAAAGCTCTTCTTTGGATGTTGGCTTTGTTGATCTGTTTCCTTTCAAGATGACCTCACACCGCTTCAATAATATCGAGGTCCAGGCTCAACATCAAAATCTGACAGCACTTTTCTGCATTCATAATTCCATCAGCTAACAACAGTGACCGAAACGCAGCCTCAAACCACGACCGAGCCTCCACAGTGTTTTACAGATGGCTGCAGACACTCACTGTTGTACCTCTCTCCTGTCTTCTTTCATACATACCGATGACAATATGAAGCAAAAAAGTTCAAATTTGTATTCATCGTTCTTTAAGTTCTGCTGCCACTGATTTTCAGTTCAGTTCTTGTGTAATTTGGCATACCTCAGCCTTTCCTCCACATTTCTCTTCCTTAAGAATGGCTTCTTGACAGCCACCCTTCCACTGAGACCATTTATGATGAGATTTCAGTGAACAATAGATGGTTAAGCTGAAGGGCTAGATGCATCTCTCAGGTCCTGTGGAGGGCTTTTGCTAGATTCTTTTTCAACACAATCCATCTGCCGTAGATAGCTCTTTTCCTCAGTCTTACCCCTTCTTTTTTGTCTTCCACTTGCCCAGTTTACTCAAATATTTCAAGTTGTCAGCTAATAGCTCTTTGGGAATCACCTCCTTGGTGCAAAAATACAATTTTATACCTGTCAAACTGTTATCATTGGTATTTTTCATAGACTGAACTAAAGAAATGTCAACAAATGATGTATTTTTGTGACAGGCTGCTAGCAACAAAGTGCCTAAAGATACCATTTAAAATTGGTCTTTGCCAAGTTGTCTCTCATGTCCAGACCCATCCTTTGGGTTAGGCGCCATTTTTATGCTTAGGTCAGTGTGAAGTGGCATAACAAAATTACAAATCGTTCTTTGAAAAGTAGCTATGCAGCAGGACTGGACTGAAAATGACTGATAAAACAACCAATGTCAAAAGTTCTTTTTTTCTTCTACACGAACATCTGGGTTCTTGGAAGTGAGAGGAAATGAGAGATGGCACAAGACTTTTGCACAGTACTTCAAAAAACAAGGAGTAGACCATGACTGAGATAGGAAATTTAAGAGCACTAATGATATTTGGTCAGTTTGGCAAAAACTGAGATTTCGGCTAAGTATTCTTCTTCCAGACTTCCAGAAACACAAAGAGATTACCCTAACATGTGTTACGTGCAGTTATTACATGAATTCTTACTAAGATGTTATGACAATGCAGTTTTAAAATCTTTTTTTTTTTTTTACTGTCACACCAAGTCAAGGGATTATTCCCCGACTTTGATCAGATCGCCTGGTTGTTGTTATTGCTGTCTGTACCTGGCGTGGGGGGGTTTTTCGAAGGAGGCTTATCTTTCCAACACCAGCCAAAACTTTCAATAATTTACATTATCCAGTCTGCAGCTGAACAACTCACAAATACTGTATGCACACAGTGTTTGTGAGAATAAACTGGTTCAGCCTGGGTCTAGACCAGCATGAATGGACTGGGAAGTTTTGTTTAAACATCAAGCTATGTAAAAGAGGCCTATCCAGTTAGATACTTCTTCCTGACAAGGCATAAATTGTTTGATGAAATTTA